CTGCAATGGTGCGCGTGTGCGCATATGTGAGTGTACACACGTTTATAGACTCATTCACATATATTCATGTGTGTGTGTGTGTGCGTGTCGGTGTCTGTGTGTGGATTGCCCTTGCTCTGTGTTTCAAAAGGGCCAAAAAACACGCGCGGGGGCGATCCATGCTCATATTCAAGCCAGTAGCACGACGTTGTACCCGAGCGGGCACGCGCGCGTCGACCCGACGCACACATCCCCGCTCGACCTGCCGCCCCGCTTATTCGGTGTCCACGGACCGCGCCCCATGCCTCGGGGCCCCCCTTTTGTGAAGTGGCCCCCCCCCCCCCCCCCCCCCCGAAAGGAGCCCCGAGGACGCCTTCGTGGCCCCAGACATCCGATGCCTCTCGACTCCTCTTCCTCCTCCTCCTCCTCCACCCCCTTCTCTTCCTCCTCCTCCTTTTTCTCCTCCTCCTCCTCCTCCTCCTCCTTTCCCTCTTCTCCCTCTTCCTTCTCCCTCCTCCTCCTCCTCCTCCTCCTCCTCTCCCTTCTCCTCCTCCTCCTCCTCCTCCTCCTTTTCCTCCTCCTCCTCCTCCTCCTCCTGCTTCTTTTCCCGCGCAAGCCAGGGCCTGGTGAGCACATCGGGATAGCCGGGGCGCTCCCGCCAGTGTCGCCTGGATGGCGAGCTGGCGGGTGGGCGGCCGTCCCACGGACCGGCAGAGGGGGGGCTTTTTCCGGGCTTGGGGTGCGCTTCCCCCGGGGGTGGGGGGTATAGGCTGCTGTGGAGTTAACATCGATCGGACGTGTGTATTTTTTCTCGGCGAGAACCATCGAGGACCATCCTGGACCATCGAGCAAACCAAGCACGCACGAAATCGAAAAATGCACGGGAAATGGACGTCCGAGCGACGGCAAGTGGACTGTGCCCCTCCCCTCCTTCTTTCTTCCTGGTCCTCGTCTCCCCCTCTCCGCTCCTCCCCCCCTGGGTCTCACAGTTCCCGCGGCGGTTCCCCCCCCCCCCCCCCCCGCGGCGGTCCCGCGGCGGCGCGCGGAGCTCGCCGCCGCTTTGCGGCCCCCGACCTGAGCGAGGTGTTGTTATTCGCTCGCGCCGGCGGGGGCGGGAGGTTTTGATCCTCCTTTTCGTGTTTTTTTTCTACGCAGGGGAACGGGCTTGCCCGACATATTGGAGCTCGTTGGCAACACTCGTGAGTTGCCGGCTCGAACGCCGCGTTGGTAACATTTCCCATCCTGCGGCGGGCTTTGTTCCAGAGAGTTGGGGCTTGCGTCCCCCTTGCCCTTGGGCTTTGCGTCCTATTATCCGCATCCGAATTCCTTTTCCTCCTCATCCTCCTCGTCCTCCTCCTGCCGCAAGTCGTTTGGGCCCGCCTTGGTGCCCGGAGAGGGTCCCCAGAGGCCGCGCGCGTCGGGGGCCCGGAGACGGGGGGTCGACGTGCGAACGGTGGTAAGTCAGGGCGCTGGATCTTGCGGGACCCTGCAGCGCCGGGTTTGCACTGGCCCGGGTCAGCGCGCAGGACCCAGCAGGTTCCTGCAGGATCAAGCAGCAGCGCCCTGCGTCGCCTGGCTGGCCCAGGTCAGTAGGTCCCCGAACACGGCCAGAAGTCACCTGCCGTGATTCTGTTCACGGCGGAGCGCTTGCGGCTCCAGAAGCGCCCGCCGACCGAGACCGATCCGATCTTTAGGGTGCAATTTTTGGGAGGTGAATTCAGCGTCGGCGCTGGTAGCTTCGTAGTCTTGTCAAGTTGCCTTGGCCAGAGGACCGCCTCCCGCGCTGCATCCCCCCGCGAGGGTCGTCTCGAAGGCGGTGGGGGGGGGCGCCGTCGCCAGCGCCAGGTCCCCAGTGGTCGGTAAGTGCCCGAATCTGGCCTAATCCCGGGTAGTCCCGCGCTGCTCCGACTAATTCTGTTTGATATGGTTTCATTCTCGGCCTGATCCCGTGCCTAGTCCGGCCATTTATGGAATGGTGGTTCGAATCGGTCCTGATGGCCAATAGTTTTTGAATCATTTCGGCGATGATCTCTTGGGAGTTTTTTCCTTACGATCCGAGGCGCCTTTTTACAGGCAGTGTTTGTATAGATCTCCAAGGCGTCTCGGATTCCTGTATTCTTTTCTTTAGAAACCCCAGATGCAGTGGATTGGGATAAACATCTGGCCTTTGATGGCAAGGCCTCATTTCATCCATTTCCACTGCGTCCCGGTCTTCAGGCATCCCTCCCCCGAGAATCCAGGACGCTGCGGATTCGGCATCGCCCAAGTCTACTTGTACTATTTGCGCGTCCCCCCCCCCCAGGGGCGACGTGCACGTTGCGAAATCTTGTGGTATATGCTCGGCGGCGGGCGCTTCCTGGCCATATTGATTGGGTAAAACCTACTACGGGAAGTTTGTTTCATATGTTCGGTTAGGACGAGCGTTTTCAACTGGGGCGCATTGGCATAGTATTAGCATGTCCTTCTGCGTCCCATGAAAGGCTCGCTTCGATTCTTCCGATCCGAGTTGATTCGATTTCGATGACTTCCGATTCCGATGTGATTCGGGTATAGATTTTGACATGGAGTTCGGTTTCCCCAAGGGCGCCTATTAGCTTGCCGAGGCTCCCCGATGCGACTTCTTCCGATTTCCGCGGGTCCGAATCGTTTCGATCGCCGATCGCGTCTATCGATTCGATTCTGGGCTCCCTTGATGGGCAAGTTTTCCAGCACCACTCTCATATGTAGGACGGGGGAGAAGGGAGGATGAGGAGGTCGTCCTCCTCGTCCTCCTCTTCCTCCCTCCCCTACCTATGCTAGCGGTGGTGGAAAAGGGGCCCATCATGATCGATTCGATTCTGGGTTTCCCTGCCCATGGACATGGACACAATGCCTGTCCCCGAGACGGCCGCCACCCCTCTCCGCTCGGCGGCGCTCCCTTCTGGGAGCAGCGGCCCTCCGCCGAGGCGATCGACGTGTTCACCGCGGTCGGGAGCGCGCACGAGGTGCCCCGCCGGGGGCGTCCGCCGCGATGAGTTCGTCGTGTCAAGCTCGCGCCCGTGGATCGGGGAAACTCAGGCGATCGCAAACACGGGTCAAGGGGGCGCGGATTAGCGACGGGTCCCGTTTCCATGGGAAGCCGCGATTTTCCGCCGCCGAGCGAGGCGGCACGGGCCGCATTTTGGGCAGGGCACCTCCCCCGATCCATGGATGTGGCGACCGCGTGCCAGAATCACGGATCGCTAAGCCATGTTTTGCGCCCCCGAGAATCGTAAAATTCGGGTACGTTTGAGTCGGGCATGTCTCTCTACAGAAGGGAGGAGGGATGTCCAAGAATAATCAAACAATCGTGTGGGCAATTTTTACATTAGGTTTGATCATGTTTGAACATTGTTTGATTGTTTTCAGGTTCTCTTCTCCGAGTCCGCCTGTAGCAGGACATGCCCGACCTAAGAGTACGCCGGGTGTCGGGATTGCCGGCGTTATTTGACGAGCGCGCCCTGGATTTTTGACGGTCCAGCTTTCGCGGGATGTCTGCAGCTGGAGATCGCGTCAAGTTTCAGATTGGGCCTCGTCATTTTCACAATGGGCCCCGCCAGGCCAGCCCGAGTCCCCCGAACCCGAGTTTTACGTCTCCCAGAGTGGAGATTGCTGACCTCGTCGATTCCTTCGCATCTTCGGGGGGGCCTTTCCTGTTGAGAGCCTGCCGAGGGTCTCAGGTGGCCCAGCGCTGGTTCCGGCCAGCAGGAGGGGGGGGGGGGGGGAGATTCGAGGTTTTGGGTTCGGTGGGTTAGTTTTTGTTGCCTTTCTCGGTCTCCGGGGGCGGCTTTCGGGCCCCAGGATGGTTAGAAACAAGGGTGACACATTACAGATGTGCCCCAGGAGGGGTCCGGGGACTAATTATCAGCGGATTTGCCATTAGCCCCCTTCAGATTTTCTCGGGGCCCGTGCAGTTCAGACCTCCCGGCCGCCTCCAACTTCAGGCTACCACTGCTGCATGGTGACTGGCAGTCTCGTCTCGTTCTCGACCAGATTCCACGCGAATTCAGCGTTTACCCGACACGGATCCGACACGGATTTGGCGCGTTCGATATCGATTCGACGTGGATGCGACACGAATGGACAGCGCAGTGAGACGGACGAGGTCCCTCAAAGATGCACCATCATGTCGTCTATCGAAGAGGCAATCAGAGGACGAAAGGTACCGATGCCAATACCCCTCCTTTCTTTTCTTGCCTTCCTGGGCCTCCTGGGAGGACCCCGTCGCAACCGCTGGATTCACCTCGAAGTTCTAGTCAGAAAGTATCCTGGCAGAGATCCAGGGAGTAGCAGTATAAATATCGTTTGGTTTGCCCATGCGATGCCGGTTCCGATTTTGATTTCTTGTCCTCCTCCTTTGTCGCCGCTGGCGACGGCAATGGAGGGCGAGGAAAAAGGAAGTCGAGAAGGTCGTCGTCAACGTCATCGCCGTCGTCAGAGGGTGCTTCTTTCTCCTCAAGACTCGTCGCCAGCTGCATTCTCATCGCAGCCATCTTCTTTCACCTCTTCATCCTCCTCGCCATCCTGATACTCCACGTGCTCCTCGTCATAATCGTCGTTGTCATTCGCCGTGTTGTCTTGCTGTTGTGCTCACGCTATACGGCCAGCGACATCATCCTGCTCCTTTCCATCGTCTGCGTCCCCGTCCTAGCATCATCGTCTCGGTCGTTCTCCGTCGCTGCATCAACCTCAGTATTGTCTTTATCTTCCTCTGTCATTGTGTTTTTGCTCCTCTTGAGCTGCCCCCTCTCCATACTCCCGATCCACCTCCACTCCTTCTCCCTTCCCCACCTCGTTGTTCTCTTAGTGCACGTCGTCGTCGTCGTCATCATCCGCCCCATCTTCGTCCTCACATTCTCCCCCCCCTCCCCCCACCCTTCCCGCCTCCTCCTGCCCGTCGGAAGCGGCAATCCCAGTAATCGTCCTCCTGTGTATTGACTCGCCCTCACCCCCTGGTCCGTCACTCCTGTCTGCCATCACCGTTCCTCCTCCATCCCAGCCCTCTTCCATCAGGCCTCGTGGCCGCAGGGCCAACCCCCGCGCCGCCCGCGGATTCTCCCTTCCGCCCAGGAGCCTGGGGGGGGCTTATCCCCAATCGCACACTCACACTTTTTTTCATGCGACTATGTTGGGCACACTTCTGAGTTTAGTGCTCCATAGTCCGCTGCACATGTTTGACGCATGGAAAGCGGAGGACATCTCATCGAACCCCTGCTTCGTTGACATCGTTGTGAGCCCAGCGATTTCACAGAGTCAGGAGCTGAGACAGGCAGTGGCGACTCTACACACGCAGGCACATGTTGTGTATCAGTTCTGGTGGGAGAGAGGGGGGCACACCAATAAGAGTTCGGGTTGCGCGGCATTCTTGAAGAAGAGAGCGGTGAGGTCATCCCACGTGGTGGAGATCGTCCATCCCCCGAGCGACCTTGCGGGGAGATGTGGTCTCATTCGCATCCGTTCTGGCCGGTTGGTATCTCGGTGAGAGTGGTTTTTTTTTCCCCCCGGTGTCCAACATGAAGGTGAACCATTGGCGCAGCACATGCAAGCGCCTCGTGTCTTGGACGCACTCGAGTATCCAGTTCGCTAGTCAGAGGTCGCTCGTTGTCGTGGGGCTCGACGCGAATTGCCAGTTCGGTCGGCGACGGGTTGGGCAGGGACTGAACACTACGTTCCATGATGGTCGGTCGCCAGGTCGGCCCGTATGCGATGGGAGAGGAGAGTGGTTTGTCGGCGCAGATATGGCATATACTCGAAATGGATGGCTTGATTGTTGTGGATAGTTTCTTCCCCGTCGGGCACGTATCATGGCGCGGAGTCTCAAAGTGCGCCCGACCACATCTTGGATCCAGCGGATGCGTTACAGGCGACGGGACCCTGCCGTATTCTGAAGCGTTGCATGCGGGAGTTGCCGATCATCCCCGACGCCAGGCCGAGAGACCACGCCCCCGTCTTGTGGTAGGCGAATTCCCAGCTGCAGGCGCCGACTGGCCAGGACCGTCCGGGTGGACCAGCATGGGATCGTGAGTATCTGGCAACTTTGCTGCAACACCTAGGAGACGGCGGTGGTATCATGACAGCGTTGGAGAGGGCTTCCATCGAGACACGGAGGAATTGGGAGCATAATGCAGCTAAGTTGGACCCATCGGACGCGTGGCAGGACCTCGCGAATGACATACAGCAGGCGGCGCTCGCAGAGGCTACCATAGTGGTCCAAAGAGTGGCGCTTCAGACTCACATGCAGAAGCGCGCGGAGGTATTGAACAAACGAAAAATGCCAGGTTCGCTTGCCACACAAGAAGATCGATTGCACCTGCGGCGGCTCGAGAAGGACACTAAACAGCTTAACCATCAGCTGGACCTGGAGCACGTTGATCATTATTCGGGGCGGCTGAACGACATCAAGGTGCCCATGATTACCACCGTGCATGGCGCCTGATCTACTCCATAGGCCGCAGACGCAGGCGCCCCCGACAGCGCACTTACATCGTGCTGCCGGCCTACCACCCCAGCATGGACGAGTGGACCGACACCAAGTCCGCTTCCGCGATGGGGGAAGGCTTCAATGTTGTCGTGGAGGAGGACCCGATGGAAGTGTCGCTAGAGTCCCTGAGGCGCATTGGGGAGGAGGGCCAGGAGTATTTCAGCGGCGCCACCGCTTCGCTTTCGTGGGACGACTGGTTTAGAACGCTAGACCTAGTTCAGGAGAGCCGCTCGGAGGAGCTGCGGCACTGGATGCTGCAGCAGGCGACCGGTGACTGGACAGGCGTGTGGCCGCGCGCACAGCATCTAGGTGAATAGGCACTCGCGTGCGCTCAGAGTCGATTGCGCCTTCGTTGCCCAGCGTTCACAGATAGCTTTAGCCGTGCACTCATACAATTTAAGGCGAAAGCTAAGACACCGCATCGATGACACTGGCGTTGCACCTTCCAGCTTTCCAAGGGGAGCCTCCAGGGAGGCGCCATGGCCATGAGGCCGACCACTGTCACTGTCCGTTGGGGAAGGCCTGGTGTCGGGGCTTATTGAGCCAGCGTCCTTCCCTCCCTCCGCGTGCCATTGGCTGCGCGGCCCACCGGCGTCGTCAGAATGCTCAGCTCGTCACCGGGATTCACAGCTGGAGGCTCAACGCAAAATTGCACATCGCACCTTTCCCGGAAGGGAGACACGTCGAATGCGTTCCCCTCCACGTCGCGCGGGGAGCTCACAGGACGGATGAGCAGATAATTCGCCGCCTGCAGGATCGACCTTCTTCCTTCAGAGGCACGCGGAGGCGGCGGTGGAGATCGGGCGGGGGGCAAGGCACTGAGCGCAGGCCGGGCATGGGAGATGGGACTGCGCGCGAGCTTTCTGTTTGTAGTTTTCTTCGCCCAGTCGAATTGCGGCGAGATGGGCATTGCGGGGCCCCCACCATACAGGTCTAAGTTGACCCAGGGGGAGGGAAGTCCCGCTCGTCAGGGCGGCCAGTACCATGGCGCGCTCGATGCCAGCCCGCCCCGTGGGCGTTTCAATTCGAGACTGCCCTGATGACATTCATCAGACGTTGCCGCTGCTGGCGCCGTGCCCGATGGAAGCTTGGACGAGAGTCCGCAGCTCCAACGCAGTTCTCGATGAGGACCTCGAGATAGGAGGGAACGTTCTGCCCCGACCCGGGAGAAATAACATCGCGCCCCAGTCACGGCGGGCCATGGGGCCCACGCTGCAACTCGTGCGTTGTTGATTGGAGCTGCCCCACTTCCTGGGGCGGCGGCGGCCGAGGGCGCGCGCCCGGGGGAACGGGGCAATGTGCGGGAGGGCGCTGAGCGGAGATAAAGAGGAGGGCGGAGGTCACGAGGGCGACTTGGAGGAGATTCGGGAGGCTATGAGACGACGCGCACTCGATTCGCCGTTCGCGCCTCGCCTTCAATGGGGGCCATCGTCATCGCTGCCTTCTCGGGGCTCAAAACCTACCTCCATGGCAAACTCGATCGTCGCCGATTGGGCGTGGTCGTCATCGGTTTTGCGCGTGCCGTGCCCCTGGCCCGACAGCCCGAGTTCATTCTTGACGCTCCTGAAGGGGCCGCGCCACCTGTCCCCCTTGGAAGATGAGGTGCTGAAGCGGCTCCGCGAACCCTCCGCCGTCGCAGATGCAGTCGCCGTCGACGAGACGGCGAACCCAGCGGGGGGTCCAGTTCGGGATGGATGTGCAGGCAGTCAGGTCCCTTAGAGGAGGGGTGAGATATGGGCGACATGCTCGATTCGCGACATCTTCCCGCGTCCGGAGGCTGGGTCTATCTTTTGCCGAACCGACGTGTGCATGCTGAGGATAGTTCCTGATGTCCGCAGTGCCTGCGGACCCCGAGGAGCCCCTCAAGGGCCCGCAGCGGCCCCGGAGGAGTTCGCGCATGACCGACCTGGGGATGGTGAGAACGGGAGGTGTTGGACGTTATACTACAGCATGGGGGGCCTCATTGCCCATCGGCGCCATCATCCATCGCGCCGACGCAGAGTCCCATCACGTCAACTCATCATCGGAACGTGCCCGCACTGCGTGAGCGCGTTCAAGTCGGTCGTCACTGTCCGACGGCGCATCGTCGCGGCTGGCGTTTGCGCGGCCAGTCTCCTCGCGCCCCAGCCGCCCGGAAGCCCGGGCGCCCCCCGTGCCCCATGTGCGGGGACATCGGGGCAGCCGCCCCTGGATTCGTGGACCGCGTGCCACCGCGCTCAAGGCGCGCGGGCCCCTTCTCATCTTTCGCCGAGCCGCGGCTGCGCGTGCGTCGCGACTGCGCGCCTCTGCCCGTTCCGCGCTCGCGCCCTCGAGGGCCTTCGCGGCAGACAGGACTCAGCGAGGAAAGGCTCTCAGGGCTCTCAGGTCCCGAAGTGGGGGGCGGCGGGGCAGTGGCGGGCGGCGGCGGCAGCCGCGCGACGGCGCGCGGTCTCGCCCCCGGCGAAATGACAGACGGGGGCGGAGCAGGGGGCTAGCTCCCCGCACAGGGGGCGGCGCCCATCGCAGGCGGCGCCGCGCCAGCGCAGGGCCGCCCGTCTCAGGCGGCCCACCCAGGCGCGGCGGCGGCGTTGCCGACGATGGACGAAGGGGCCGACGCGCGCAGGCCGTGCCGATCTCGCTCGCCCAAGCCATGTCCCCGATCACCGCGAGGGCAATCCTGAAGAACAGCCTGGCAGTGGCGCACAGAGGGGCGGCGATCGACTCCCGTGCCCGCCTCGACGCGGCCCGCGCCGTCTGCGAGGCGACGGAGCTGACTGGGCGATTTCGCGTTCAGGGGGCGCAGAGTCTCAGATATGACCGCGCGGAAGTTTTGAAGAAGCCGCAGGCGGTGCCGGCGCCCGATCGACCTCGGCGCCCCGCGCCCTCATCTCTCCCTCGCCCTAGCGAGGGCGATCATCCAGCAGGGCGTCGGATGCGGGGCCGCGAACTACAAGGCGCTCTCAGACTGACTCGAGACGATCGTCCTTTCATCATCGGGACCAGAAATATTTATATTTCACTGGTTGTTTGGGCTCTCGATCGCAGGCGCCTAATTGAATTGTTACACGGCGCGTTCTTCGTTTCGCTGCCCGCTGCCTCCTTGCAGCGCGCAAGCCAAGCGATCGTGGCCATCGCAAGATGCAGCTGGGCCTTTCGAGGACGACGCGCTGTAGATGCAGCTTCATTTCCTGATGGAAAGCGACGCGATGCGTGATGCAACGGCCCTTCGGTTGGTTCGAGCGGCCCCCGAACAGACATTGAGGCCGCATGTGCCTATATAGCCGCGGCTTGATCCCGTTCAATCAGCGCGCATTTCAAGGCTGCCCGGCAATGTCGACGGGAATCGTCATGCCCAAACGAATTTGTGCATTGTTAATATCCGCAGGCCTGAGGCGCAGGACTGCGCGCGCCGCGCCGCAGATCGGCGCGCCGCGCCCGCCGCATCAGGGCGCGCGCGGCGTCTGCCCCTGGAACCCCCGCCAGGCCGGATCGGTGAAATGAAAGATGTCGTTGTTTTGGGTGGGCCCAAACCGCAACATTTTTCATTTCACTGGACGCGGGTCTGGGTTGCGTCTTTGTCCAGGGCGGATGCGAGCGGTTCCTTGCGTGCTCCTGCGGGGGGCTCGCTCTAGGGCGTATCGGGCGTCTCTCGGGGCCTGTCGCGCTCTTCCTCGGGTTCCCCCACTGCCTCTCCTGAGGAAGCTCGTGGGGGCGTCTCGGCGACGGATCGGGGACCTGGGCTTCGCCGGGCGCCCAGGGTCGTTTCTCGGCGCGTTCAGGCCGACGTGGAGCCCCCCGCAATCCCCGGCCGCCCAGAGTGCGCCATTGGCGCCTGAAGGGTTTCCTGCAGGCGGCGGGTGATGGTGTCCAATTGTCGTGCGACGCCGTGCTGGGCGCTCCTTCAAATCGCAAGCTCGGTCGATTCGCACAGTTGGCGTCGCGTCGCGCAGATGTCGGCCTCATCGCGATCAGCGATCATTTGGGCATGAGGGCCAGCAAAGTAAAATCTACAGGCCGACCAGCGAAGGATAATCATTTCTGGCCCTTGCATCACCATCGAAGTCTTCCGCGCTGAGATCCGCCGCATCTCGCGCGCGCGCTGTCGGATGCTGATGAAGGCGCGCCTGAAGGCGCGGGAGACAGGCGTTCGGGCAGAATTGCTCGACTCCGCGAAGCAGCTCGGCGGAGCCTTGAATAGGGGCGCGCCTTCGGATGGTCACCGCGAGGGAGTCATGCAGATGTTGATCGACAGAGCGGGCGGGGCACTGAGCGTCGAGATGGCGGGCGGGCGGGCCTCGAGGGCGGCGCCTTTCCGATTGCCAGGCCTCCGATTGCGAGGCCTACTCCGGTTGTTGCGCCTACTTCGATTGCCGGGCCTGCTCTGGGTGCCCAGCCGACCGGGATTGCCGCGCCTACTCCGGTTGCGGCGCCGACTGCGATTGCTTCGCATATTCCGATTGCCTCAACCCGTGCGGGCGTGGGCTACTCTGTCAGCTTCACAGGTTGCAGAGGACCCGCCGATGCGGCCCCTGGCGTCCGACAGGTTCTCTCGGTTCGAGGTTCCGTTTCGGAATCGTGCGGTCGGGGTCGCGAATCAGCGAGGCCCGAGGCCGCGCGCAGAAATCCGGAAAAAGAATCCGAAGAAGTTAGGTTGGGACCCTCCCTCGCGCCCTCTTGCTCCTCGAGCTCTGCTGCTGCCGCCGCGGCTCCTGGTGCCCGCCGCCTGGCCGCTCGCCCTCCCCCGATGCCAGAATTATTATGAGACTTGCCAGAGCCTTGCCCAGGAGACCACGTAGCGAGGATATGCAGAGTTGAATATCGTAATTTGGGTTTCGGGCGCTCCGATGTGATTGACTGGTCTCGCAATGTGTTAGCTGAGAGTAACTTTTGTCGTTCCCGCCTACTACCCGATAGTAGCCCACCGACGTTGTTGATCTTGAGCGTCCCTGGATCCAGGGGCACCTCCGATCTGGACGCCGGAGGGACGTCCGAGCCCCCTTCGAATGCTTTGCGCCGCATTTCGAAGCGCACCCGAGGAGCTTGAGCAAGCTTGAAGTATGTAGCTTCGGAAGTCTTGACTCGTGCCCCTGGTGAGCGCGCCGCGACGCCATTCCATGATGCTTTTCCATCACGCCCCCCCCTCCGTCTCATCCCGGCTCTCATCCGTGGACGTTCGTCCCCCTCGTGACCTATCCCGAAGAACGGCCCAAACCAAGTCTACGTCATCGTGATCGTGTGTTTGTTCTCCTGATCCTCCCGCGTCCCATGTCCGTTTGTTTTTGTCTCCTTTGTTTTCCTTCCCCCTCCAATTTCCCACCTTTCTCGTTCTCATCATACAACATGTTGTTATGAAAGGGAAGTGGGGGGATTGAGAGGGCACTTCGCATTGTCTGCGCATGTCGTGTTCGTCTCTCCTTCTCTCCCTGTCTCTACACAAGCTTTTGCGTGAAGTGTTGACGCGCCCCTCAATTGTTTACCCAAATCCCCACCCACCCGAGTGGAACCAGGGCGGCGACACAATGAGTCGCGAGCTTGAGAGCCTGGTTGGCTCCGCCCTTCTCACCCATCGACGCCGACCGAACGCTACTCGTGTGAAGGTTTTGGAAGATTTCATTGTTAAGGATGTCCGTTTTCAGGGGGATGATCGAATTCGTTTTCGTGTTTACGCTCCCCCTTGTCCAGGGATGGGGAAGGAGGAGGCGGAAGCGGAGGAGAAAGAGGCGGACGAGGAAGATATGGACGAGGCGGAACAGGCAGGCGGAGGCGGCTTTGCACCCCAAACTCCAGCACGCTTGGTCCGCCCTAGGCATTCGGATCCAGGCTGTTGCA